GTTGGATTGGATGGATTGGATTGGATGGCAGTGAACTGAGTAGCTTTAAGTATTTTCTGTTGGTCATGAGGGTTCTGTGTGGGAAGTTTGGCCCAATTCTGTCTTTCGTGGGGTTCTGAATGCTCTTTAATTGCAGGTGAACTATAAATCCCAGTAACTACAACTCCCAAATGTCAACATCTATTTTCCACAAACTCCATCTGTGTTCATATTTGGCCATATGGAAGGTAGATGCTTTTGAACTGTGGTGTTGGAGGAATGTCCTGAGAGTGCCTTGGACTGCGAGAAGATCCAACCAGTCCATCCTCCAGGAAATAAAGCCCGACTGCTCATTGGAGGGAAGGATACTAGAGACAAAGTTGAAGTACTTTGGCCACATCATGAGGAGACAGGAAAGCTTAGAGAAGACAATTATGCTGGGGAAAGTGGGAGGTAAAAGGAAGAGGGGCCGACCAAAGGCAAGATGGATGGATGGCATCCTTGAGGAGACTGGACTGACCTTGAAGGAGCTGGGGGTGGTGATGGCCGACAGGGAGCTCTGGCGTGGGCTGGTCCATGAGGTCACGAAGAGTCGGAGACGACTGAATGAATGAACAACAACAACAGCACAACTCCCAAATGTCAACATCTATTTTCCCAAACTCCATCTGTGTTCATATTTGGCCATATGGAATATTCGTGCCAAGTTTGGTCCAGATCCATCATTATTTGAGTCCACTGTGCTCTCTGGATGTAGGTGAACTACAATTCCCAAACTCAAGCTCAAAGCCCACCAAACCCTACTAGTGTTTTCTCTTGGTCATGGGAGTGCTGTGTGCCATATTTGGTTGAATTTCACCATTGGTGTTTAGAATGCTTTTTTATTGTAGGTGAACTACAAATACCAGCAACTACATGGCAAACTCAATTTTTTTGAGTGATGGTCACTCCTTGGGTTAGTAGGTGTCGTGTGGCCAAATTTGGTGACAATTTGTCTAGTGGTTTTTGAGTTATGTTAATCCCACAAACAAACATTACATTTTTATTTATATAGAACAGGGGTCCTCAAACTAAGGCCCGGGGGCCAAATGCGGCCCTCCAAGGTCATTTACCTGGCCCTCACTCAGGGTCAACCTACGTCTGTAATGACTTGAAAGTACACAACAACAACAATCCTATCTCATCAGCCAAAAACAGGCCCACACTTCCCATTGAAATACTAATAAATTTATATTTGTTAAAATTGTTCTTCATTTTAATTATTGTATTGTTTTAAGTGTTTTTTGTACTACAAATAAGATATGTGCAGTGTGCATAGGAATTCATTCATTTTTTTTTCAAATTATAATCCGGCCCTCCAACAGTTTGAGGGACTGTGACCTAGCCCTCTGTTTAAAAAGTTTGCGGACCCCTGATATAGAAGATATGTATGTGTATATGTGTGTGTGTGTGTGTGAAACAATGGCTTCAAACTACAAGAGAGGAGATTCCATCTGAACATGAGAAAGAACTTCCTGACTGTGAGAGCCATTCAGCAGTGGAACTCTCTGCCCTGGAGTGTGGTGGAGGCTCATTCTTTGGAAGCTTTTAAACAGAGGCTGGATGGCCATCTGTCAGGGGTGCTTTGAATGCAATATTCCTGCTTCTTGGCAGGGGGTTGGATTGGATGGCCCATGAGGTCTCTTCCAAATCTATGATTCAGCAGTGGAAGTCTCTGCCCCGGAGTGTGGTGGAGGCTCCTTCTTTGGAAGCTTTTAAACAGAGGCTGGATGGCCATCTGTCAGGGGTGATTTGAATGCAATATTCCTGCTTCTTGGCAGGGGGTTGGACTGGATGGCCCATGAGGTCTCTTCCAACTCTGTGATTGCGTTCAGCAGTGCAACTCTCTGCCCCAGAGTGTGGTGGAGGCTCCTTCTTTGGAAGCTTTTAAACAGAGGCTGGATGGCCATCTGTCAGGGGTGCTTTGAATGCAATATTCCTGCTTCTTGGCAGGGGGTTGGACTGGATGGCCCATGAGGTCTCTTCCAAATCTTTGATTCTATGATTCAGCAGTGGAACTCTCTGCCCCGGAGTGTGGTGGAGGCTCCTTCTTTGGAAGCTTTTAAACAGAGGCTGGATGGCCATCTGTCAGGGGTGATTTGAATGCAATATTCCTGCTTCTTGGCAGGGGGTTGGATTGGATGGCCCATGAGGTCTCTTCCAAATCTATGATTCTATGATATATTATATTATACAGTATACAAGGTGGAACTAAAATTAGTTTTGAAAAAGACATTCATCCATTATAGCAGAGGTATACAACGCCAGGAATCCCATTGTCGCTTTGGGACTCCATTTCCCAGCCTCCCTCTCCGCTATTCTCGCTGACAGAGGCTGACTATAGTTCAAGGCTATTTAAAGGCCGCCTCGCCATTATAGGCTCACAAGACTTGTCTGTCATGTTGCTCCGCCCTTGTTTCGCCCTCTCAGTGCTTACGTCACGGCGCGGCGTCCAATGGCCTTACAGTGGGCGTGGCTCCCCGCTTGGCTCCCACTGTTGGCTCCCTTTGCGGAGGCGGGCCTAAGCTTCGTGCCAGGAAAGGCGCGCCGCTCTGTCACTTCCTGCGGCGCGCTGGCGTCGTCTCCTCCTCCTCCTCCTCCTCCTCTTCGCCTTCTTGGATTCATTGCCGGCGTCCCTCAGCCTCGGAGTCGCCTCGGAGAAGGGACGGAGGCCTGAGGGGAGAAGTCGGGCCCGGCGAAGCGGGTGAGGCCCTCAGCAGCTTCTCCTCACGAGAGAACTCAGAGAGAACTGGGACTCCTCCTTCTCCTCAGAGAGAAGTGGGCCTCCTCCTCCTCCTTCTGCTCCCTCCTCCGCTCTGCGGTGATCGAAGCGATGCCCGTGAAGAAGAAGCGCAAATCTTCGGGGCAGGCGGGCGACGAGGCCGGCCTCAAGAAATGTAAAATCACCAGGTAGGGGAAGCTGAACCTTGGGAGCCTTTGAAAACACTACACGCATATTTTATGTATGACATGGTATATTATGCAATATATATATACACACACACAGATATATATATATAATATATAATTATATCATCTATTTTATATATATATATATATATATATATATATATATATATATATATGCATGCATGCTCTGTGCATAATGAGTACCTTAAAAACAAAAGATTATTATTATTATTATTAAACTTTATTTGTACCCCGCTAGCATCTCCCGAAGGATTCGATGCGGCTTACACAGGCCGAGGCCTCAACACACAACACAACAATACAATCTAAGCAAATCAAACAATTAAAAACAGAATAAAGCAAAATAAACAACAGGCACAATACAGTAAACACAATAAAACTGGGCCGGGCCAGAGTAATGGGTACAAGAATTAAAAGTGCTGATGTGACAGGAGGTGTATATAGGGCTTCAAGGGCAAGTGCGATGTGCGATGTGCAGCAATCATTGGTTCTGATAAAGTGCTTATGGGACTTGGTAGTGGAGATTTCCTAATCTGGGAAGGCGCATCGGAAAAGCCAGGTCTTCAAGTTCTTTCTGAAGACAGCCAATGTAGGGGCCTGTCTAAGGTCTTTGGGGAGGATGTTCCAGAGTCGGGGGGCCACCACGGAAAAGGCTCTGTCCCGCGTCCCCACCAAGCGCGCTTGCGACGCCGGTGGGATCATGAGCAGGGCCTCTCCAGATGACCGAAGAGAACACGTGGGTTTGTAGATGGAGATGCGGTCACGCAGGTAGGCTGGTCCCAAACCGTTCAGGGCTTTGTAGGTAAGCACCTGCACATTAAATTGGGCTCGGAATATAAACGGCAGCCAGTGAAGCAAAAGAACCAATGAACGAAATCACACCAAATTTGGCAACGAAACGTCTCACAACACAAGGAGTGACCATCACTCAAAAAATTATGATTTTGTCATTTGGGAGTTGTAGTTGCTGGGATTTATAGTTCACCTACAATCAAAGAGCGTTCTGAACCCCACGAATGACAGAATAAGGCCAAACTTCCCACACAGAACCCCCACGACCAACAGAAAATACTTAAGGCCATCCAGTCCAACTCCCATCACCAGGGCAAGAAAACGTAATCGAAGTCCTCCTGACAAAGAGCCATCCAGCCATAGATAGATAGATAGATAGATAGATAGATAGATAGATATAGATAGATATGTTTCACACAGAGAGAGATATAGTATCCTAGATTTGAAAGGGACCCCTAAAGAAGGACAATGATATGTTGCATGTTCCAGGGTGGGCAAACCAGACACTCTCCACATCAACACTGACAAAGAAACAGCAAGACATACTGTTGACCTACAAGCATAAAGAAATTGCATATATTAGCAACCAACACTTTCTCATTACTTTATTTTCCAGATCAACAGACTGGGCCACAGCAACACATGGCAGGGGGCAGCTAGTATATATATGTGTGTGTGTGTGTGTGTGTGTGTGTGCTAGACAATGACTGTGAATGGTAGTTTCATATGGGTTTTCGTTGGTATTTAGTTTGACAAAACTGTGCACTACTCCTTTGCTTTTGTGACAATTCCCCTTCATGCCTAATAATAATAATATATAATTATGTATTATCTCTCTCACACACACACACACACATATATATGTATGTAATGTTCGTTTGTGGGATTAACAGAACTCAAAAACCACTGGACAAATTGACAGCAAATTGGCACAATACACCTATCAGGCCAACAAGTGACCATCGCTTATAAAAACACTGGAAAACACAGCAGAAGAGACTTAAAAAGCCAAAAAATACAAAACACATTACAACACATGAACATAACCACATAAACACACACATATACACACACAAAACACATATACACACACTGAGCCATAGCAATGCGTGGCAGGAGACAGCTAGTCTATATATATAAATATAGTGTTCGTTTGTGGGATTAACAGAACTCAAAAACCACTGGACAAATTGACACCAAATTTGGACACAATACACCTATCAGGCCAATGAGTGTCTATCACTCATAAAAACACAACAAAAGGGACTTAAAAAGCAAAGAAACCCAAAATTACATTACAATGCATGTGCAAACCCACATATATATATGCAACCACACATATATACACACACACACACATACACAAAATACATATACACAGACTGGGCCACAGCAATGCGTGGCAGGGGACAGCTAGTGTGTGTGTGGGTATATATATATATATATAAATTTAATGTTCGTTTGTGGGATTAACAGAACTCAAAAACCACTGGACAAATTGACACCAAATTTGGACACAATACACCTATCAGGCCAACAAGTGACCATTGCTCATAAAAACACTGAAAAACACAGCAGAGGAGACTTAAAAAGCCAAAAAATACAAAACACATTACAACGCATGCACATAACCACATAAATACACATATACACACACAAAACACATATACACAGACTGGGCCACAGCAATGCGTGGCAGGGGACAGCTAGTATATATATATAAATGTAATGCTCGTTTGTGGGATTAACATAACCCAAAAACCACTGGACGAATTGACACCAAATTTGGACACAGTACACCTATCAGGCCAATGAGTGTCCATCACTCTGAAAAACACAACAGGAGGGACTTAAAAAGCCAAAAAAAACCACCCAAAAATTACATTACAACACATGCACAAACCCATACACACACACACACACACACACACACACATATATATGCAACCACGTATACACAAATATACACACACGCATATACACACACAAAATACATATACACAGACTGGGCCACAGCAATCCGTGGCTGGGGACGGCTAGTCTATAAATAAAAATGTAATGTTCATTTGTGGGATCAGCGTAACTCAAAACCCACTGGAAGAATTGACGCCAACAAGTGACCATCACTCATAAAAACACTGGAAAACACAGTAGAAGAGATTTAAAAAGCCAAAAACAATACATTACAACACATGCACAAAACCACACACACACACACATATATATATACACACACACACATATACACAGACAAAATACATATACACAGACTGGGCCACAGCAATGCGTGGCAGGGGACACGTAGTATTATATAATTATATATATCAATTTAGTTTGTAGTTTGACAAAGCTGTGCACTACTCCTTTGCTTTTGTGACAGTTCCCCTTCATGTCTAATATATATATAAATGCTCTGTTTGTTTTAAGTGACATCATAACTCAAAATCCGCTGAACGAATTGCTGCCAAATTTGGCCACAAGACCCAAGGAGAGACCATTACTCAAAACAAAATGATTTTGTCATTTGGGAGTTATAGTTGCTGGGATTTATAATTCACCTGCAATCAAAGAGCATTCTGAACTCCACCAACGATGGAATTGATCCAAACTTGGCACACAGGACTCCTATGACCAACAGAGAACACTAGAAGGGTTTGGTTGGCATGGACGTTGAGTTGTAGGTTTTATATATAAAATATGTGTCTAAAAACCTTATGCAGTTTTTAAAGTGTTATACATATTTTTATACATAACATATATATTATATACATAACACACACACACACATATATATATATTGTGTAATATATAATACATATAGTATTATACATAAAATATCATGTTATATAAAATGTGTATGAAAACCTTATGAGCATTTTAAAGCATTTTACATATATTTTAAGATGTATAATATTATATATATATGATAAAAATAAATCTTTATTTATATCCCACTTTTCTTCCTCGCTGGACCCAAAGTGGTTCACAACATAATACAAGTCAAAGCACATTTAACATCAGATACAAGACAAAAATCACACACAGCATAATGACATCCAGAAATAAGGTATAAATAAATATTATATTTATAATACATAAAATATGTATATGAAAACCTTTTGAGCATTTTAAAGCATTATACATATATTTTATATATAATATGATGTAATCTGCATAATGTAATACAGATTACATCATATTATTACATATAATAATATATATTGCATATAATAATAATAAATCTTGATTTTTATCCTTCTGTTCTCCCTAGCAGGACCCAAAGCAGTTCACAACATAATACAATACAAGTCAAAACACATTTAACATAAAATGCAAGACAAAAATCACACAAAGCATAATAACATCCAGAAATAAGATATAAATAAATATTGAGCATTACAAACATTAAAAACCAATTAAAACTATTGTGGAGACTCATCAATTAAATAGTATATATATCGCTAAGCTCAGTGCAAATCGATCTTGCTGTCATTAGCAATTGAATTCATTCATGAAAAACCTTGCATGAACAAGTAGGTCCTCAACTGGTTCTTGAAGGATAACAGGGAAGTGGCCGTTTAATGGAGAGGGAGTTCCAAAGGGCCGGGGTGGCTACCAAGAAGGCCCTCTCTCGTCGCCACCAACCATATTTATGATGGTGGCAACGAGAGAAAGTCTCTCCAGAAGATCTTAATGATCAGGCAGGTTGGTAAGAGATGATGCAGTCAGATAGGTAAGTTGGGCCTGAACCTTTTAGGGCAGTGGCTCTCAACCTTCCTAATGCCTTGACCCCTTAATACAGTTCTTCATGTTGTGGTGACCCCAATCATAAAATTATTTTTGGTGCTACTTTGTATTTGTAATTTTGCTACTGTTATGAATCATAATGTAAATATCTGATATGCAGGATGTATATAAGATATAGGCTGTTAGGAATTGTGAGAGTTGAAGTCCAAAAAACCTGGAGGGCCGAAGTTTGCCCATGCCTGATTTACACTGTAGAATTGGAGGAATATATAGGCTTTGAGGAATATATCATAGTTTGCTTAACTGGTTTCCCATGACATCTGAACTAGGGAGTGGATCACATCCTAGTTGTATATTTTGGTGATCAGGCAGTACTCAAAGCATCTGGCTCTTCTCATATTACTGCATCAGATCCTATGAAGTCTGCCAGCAACACTTGG